TTTGCTTATGCTTTGGTTACTCCTTGTGTTAGCACTAATCCTTCCACCTCCAGTTTCCTTCATTCCTGAACCAATAGTCACTGCTCAGTGAACTCCATTCCTGTGTGACACTCCTGCCCACTAAGACTTGTGAGTTTAATCAGATCTTTTAATAAAATCTTTGGTTTAAAGAAAAAGGCCTCTCGGGCCCTTGAAAGTATTTGCATTTGCATTTAAGCATTCATTTGTAAGTACTCAAAATTGCATATAAATCACTACACATTTGTAAATCTTTGTTTATGCTTGTGGATACACATTTGTAACCCTTTAGAGACTAATTTAATTCAATTCAATTCAATTCAATTCAATTTTATTTATATAGCGCCAAATCACAACAAATGTCGCCACAATGCAGAGAGCTAATGATTAACTAACTATGTTGGTTTGATGGTTCATAGTCTTTTCAAATTTGTACTCCTGCCTGTTTGTTTATCTGAAGATCAATTAAAACAGTGCTGTGATGTAGAAAATCAGATTCAGGTTGAGAGCTTCTGTTATTATTCAATGTAGCATCATATTGCTCTCAGACTGATAATTGTGCCAGATGGGCTCACATGATTCTGTTGCTAGAGTTTTTAGGGTCCGAAAACCACTGAATCACATTTTATAAACACATTGTTGGCAAAATTTAGGGTGTTGTCCACTTGCATCAATTTGGCCAAAGACACTGATGTAAGTAGAAAGGTTGCAGAAGCCCAGATGGTCACTCTTTGCAGCTGTGGTGAGCTAAAAAATTACAAAAGGAAAATGAAAAAGTTATCAGCAGCACAAATCTTGAGCTTAACCTGCTTTTCCTCGACAGTCCAGTCCAGGCTTCGGTCTCCTTAAAGCCAATCAATCAAGGTTTCTAAACGGCTGGAGAAAGGCACCACAGCACATAGCACATAATTTTTTTAATTGTTTTTTAAATCCAGATAATATTTACATTACACAGAAGGAAAACCAGATATTGTCATTCAAAACATCCTGTCTCTAGTGTTTTTGAAGTTGTTTGTTCACATGGAGGGTTTAATGAGATCCATTGAGGGTAACAAAGTGTTCAGCTCAAATAAATTACAGTCTCGGAGTGGCTGTATTTTGAGGAAACCCTCACAGTGTGACTTCTGTATCCAGCCTGCTTTAGTTAGACTTTTTCTGGTGTTATTGGAGCCTTACTTATGACGACTTTTTGACATGAAAACGCGTATTGCTCTTACTTTCGATAAGCAGCAGGTGCTGCCATCGGCAGCTCGCCCATGCCAAAGCACTCACAGGCGGAGGATAGTCCTCCCCCAGCTGCTATCAGGGCAGGAGACGTTCACACCTATGCGTCCAAACTGCAAATGAATCGCGCATGAGCGAAGCCGCTGCTCCCGCACTGACTGTAACGCAGTCAGTTCTTTTACTGTTGTGTTGTTTTGTGGACCACAAGGTTTAAAACTACTTATAAACACACACACACACACAAAGAAACTCCACCAGAGTGCCTATTTCGGGTCACTTTTTCCGGTCCAAGCCCGGTTAAAGGAGCAGGGTTGGAATTGTGACATTAAAAAACAATAATTGCTAAAAGAAATAAATTATAAATGCATTTAAGACGTTTTTTTACTGACTTTATGTCTCTTCCACAATGTTATTTCTCTCTTCAACAGCGTAGGTTACAATTACATTAGCATGACCAAGTATGCAAATTTAGCGACGTCATTTAGCGACTTCTAGCGACTTTTAGGACAGCCGATAGCGATTTTCCTTACTGAGGAGATGGCAACACTGCACATGCTCAGACACAGGGCAACACTGATGACAATGGTTTGTTGATTTAAGTGATCTGTATTAGAGCTCAGGCAAAGTTCAGTTGCACCCATGCACAGTATGCATCTGTGATTAATAACTGTACTCAAGCACAGAACTCAAGAGCAGTCATCCTCGTTGTGTTAAATAAGGAATCTGTACAGAATATAATAAGGCCGTGTCTCAGTGCATTCAATAGTCATTGCAAACAAGCCACAAAGTTTAAAAAAGCTCTAACCTTTAGGACCATGTAGGGCCGAAAGGTTAAAACTAAAATTTTTAAATAAAACCTAAAATTACAGGCAACCAGTGAAAGGAGGCCAAAAGTGGAGTGATATGAGATCTTCTGTTGATGCCTGTTAAGAGGCGACTTGCAGCATTCTGCACAGTCTGAAGACATGGATGAGTGAGTTTGGTGTGGAAGAACTTGACTGGCCTGCACAGTATCCTGACCTGAACACCTTTGGGATTAATTAGAACAGAAAATGCAAGCCAGGCCTTCTTGTCCAACATCAGTGTCTGGCCCCCCCATTGTGGGGGCCAGACCATGAAGGGCAAGTAATTCCGATTAACATTTCTAAACCTTGTGGAAAACCTTCCTAGAAGAGTTGATGCTCTAATAGATGGAAATGCTAGGCCAACATCCCTACCAATTAAGAATGGGATGTCACTTATCGTGGAATTTAGATTAACAAAGTCTGCAGACATGGTTAGCTGTAACCAACACCTTTATTACCATGCACATGGGAGAGCAAACAGATGACTAATAGTCATGTGAGCTCTGAGCTCTTAAGGCGTCCCAGCACCCCTTTTAACCTCTCATAACGACAGTACTTCCTCTTTGTATACTGTTTACATACTGTTTACATACACAAAAATATTTATAATATGCTATCGGAGATGCAGGGAGGTCAGGAAAAAAGCTGCACAGACCTGTTTACCTCACCTGCTCGTTTTGACCAGCTTCACATGTTTGTGTTCATATGATAGAATTATAGCTTGAGTGGAAATTTATTTATTCCAAACTGCACGTTTCATAATGGATTTACAAGTGATTTTGTATCATCCCCTCTTTAATCCAATTGTCATGGTCCCCGTGCCTCGCCAGCTGCCTCGCCGGCTGACTCTTACGGGCTCATTACGGGCTCCCGCCCCTGGCCCACGCACCTGTGCTCACCGTCACACCTGCAGCCGATCCCAGCTGATTTGGAGCACTATTTATGACGGCGGACCTGTGTCATCCTTCGCTGGATCGTTGAGCCGTCAGCGTCAGTTCCCCTGAACCTGAACCGAGCGAGTGTGTGCTTGGAACCCACTGAGAGTGTGTATTGGATTAATCCCTGTCTCCCCCTGGACCCTGGAGCCCCGGACCCTTTCCCCTGCCATATATATTCTCACCTGTTGTCTCACTGTAAATAAACGCACTTTCTCTTTTGCCAAGGATACCTGATCTGCGCGTGAGTCCGTTTCAAACATTGTGACACCAATTGGATATGGACTGAAAATGAAAGAAATCTCTCAACACCTCAGGAGGTTGTTTTGTCATTGCATCTTATGTGTCAAAACTGATGTTCGAAGTGCGGTCATTTCCTTTGCGATTCAAGTTCAACGGCCTGACTTCTCTATAGTCTAGACATTTCTGTCACGGTTCTGGGTCAGTTTGACCCAGTATTTTGGGTTTCTCGTGTCTTGGTTTAATTTTGTATTTTGTATTGTATTTTGATTCTTTTACATTGTTGACCATTATGAGAATTTTAGGTTTCTGTTTATTCATGTTTTAGGATTTGCACTTTGGTTGTGTCTCACGTTTTGCATAGTTCAAGTTCCATGTGTTATATTCTGTCTGCGTCTTTGTTTAGTGGTTTCTTGTTTCCTGTTTTATTGTGAAGGTCTGTGTCTCATGTGAGTGTGTTCAGTTCTACTGCTCCCCTGTCTCGTTAGTCCAATTTCTCCCAGCTGTGTCTCCCTCCTGTTGCCCATTCCCTGATTACCACCCTGTGTATATTAGCCCTGTGTTTTCCTGTGCTCAGTGTCGCGTCATACCCTCAAATTATGCCTGTGTGTTTTTGGTCTCTGCATTCCGTGTTCACTTCATGTTTTGTTTTCATGCCAGCAATAAAGCTGTGGTTTTGAGTTGCATTCTGTCTTTGAGTCCTGCAGTTGGATCCTCATCTCCGCCTGCCCGCACACAGAGTCCTGACAGAACAACGCGACCAGTATGGATCCAGCAGACTCACGTTTCGCCTCTGAGGGGGAGTATCTCGTACACCTATGGGATTACTGTTGGAGGGTAATCCACGCTGCGAACCCCTACTGGCAGCTGGAGGTAGTGTTTTTTGATAATTTTTTTGTCGTCCACTGCTTCCACTGTCAGTTTCCTAAATATCAAAGGACTAAAACAAATAATAATACATCTGAGAGCGAGGCTCAGTTTTGAACTGTTTAGCATGGGCGAGCCAGGGAAGGAAAATTCAACTGTCCTCCTGGAGGCCCTCGCTACTTGGTGTTCTCGGCGTCAGCAGCATTTTTTTGTCAAGGTTGATCGCCAAATCACTCGATCCGACCTTAAAGAAGAAATGCAACCCTCGCCATCATCACCCAACCACACTTCCATTCTCTCCTGTGGTACGGACTGGAGCAGTTGTCATTTCCACACCACAGCAGGAGCAGCCACACCAGAGTTTCTCCACATCACCTTTTGCCAGCCCTGATCCCATTTCAACAGGGAAGCGGCAGATGCGCTGCCAGCATTCACAGTCCCAGCAGGAGTCTGGGATTTTGTCTGAACAGCCGGCTAGGTCAGCTGCCCAGCAGCCACCGTCAGCTCAATTTTAGTCGCCCTCTGCTCAGGCTCCAGTGCTTTCACCCATTCAGTCAGCCACTCATCTTTTTTATTTATTTTTTTTGCCTGTCCCGTTTGGTTCTTTTGCCATCAGAATTATTGTCTAAAGGCGAAGAAAGATGCCCAACGGATTTACTTTACCAAATAGACCATCCCATCCTTGCCGTAATGGTCTATTTGATTCACCTTTTATTGTTTATTTTATTTATTTTTTATTTTCACTTGCTAGATACGGGACTGACTTGAATGAGGAAAAGGGAGAAAGGAAGAGGGGGGAAAATAGCGGAGAAGAGGGACGGGGATAAAGGGCAAAAAAACAAAAACCAACTAAATAAGCAGACAAAAAAAATACAGATATCAATCACCTGTTGAGAAAGAAAAAAGAAAACACGCAGAAGAAAACGAGAGCAATACAATAAACAACATCATGATGATCTATGGGAATGTAACAGTAAATATTAAACATTATTGTGCAGCACGTAAGATCGACAGCGCACAGTGTGCTTTGAGGTAGGAGCCAAAAAGGGTGTAGTTTGTGTGTGTGAGCATCTGTGTGTACACCTGTGAGCATGGATGCGTTTGTTTTTAAAAGGTTCCTTCATGTAATGATCTGCTAGAGGGTGTGGGGAGCCACAGCCCCGTCCACCAGGGCATGAAGCAGGTATGGAGGAGATCAGAACTCCAGAGATCCAGAGGCCCTCAGAACACAAGAGACCAAGGAAGACCAACAGAAGGGCAGCCGCGCCACTATCCTAGAAAGAGCTGAGGAGAGCCCCAGATGAGGGGTCACTCAGCAGCC